AGTGGATGGATATTTGCTCTCTCTCATTCTACTTAAATGGAAGTTTCTAAAACCCTCCATCTCTCTTCTTCAGATCTCTGTCTGTTCAAGAATTCAGCTCTTAGAAATTAGAGCGTTAAGTTTTAATAGAGGAGCTGAGATAACGTAACAGATGGAGGTCGTGAGAACCTTGAGAATCCGAGCTAGAGACCCCTGTAGGCCCTACACTCGGGAATTTGTTCTGTGGATTTCTTAGTTGACGTTACGATTAGAAATAGAAGCGAAGTGCAGGGCGAATCATAATAAGTTTGATCAGGTGCTCTGTTTCTCATTTTTGAGTGAAGATTAGTCACACAGTCGATGATATACACTTACCATCGTCATTTGGCTGAACAAATATAACAAGCACAATAATGACTATCACCAAGAAGCAGTTAATGATAAGCGGCACAACAATCCTGTACATAAGAGAACCCCTGAAATGATAGAATGGATCAGGATGAAAGACTGTACTTTGCACAGAAGGCCGAAGAAATAACTAACTGACGCAACAACTATGGCTATGTTAACAAACATGATCCCAACATTTGGGATTTGAGAAGTAACACCGATGATGCTCATGAAACTCTCAGCATAGCTGGTTGCATTGCCATCCACTGTGAACCAGTAGTCGACATAATACTGCAAAAAGCGACATTTTATAGCACCTCTGAAATATTCCTAGTATACGTGCAGACAGGGTAAAGCATGCGGATGTGCGATATGTCGGTGTACGCCCCCCCCCCCTTGAAAATAGGTCCAGTTACGAGCCGCCCCTCCCCCTGCTCTGACTGGCAATAAGCATTAAGCAAAATTGGTGAAAAAATAGCCCCAAAGTCAGTGTGTCAGGCCCCAGATGTACTTCAATGAATGGTGACTGACGGGGAAATCAAACCCTCTTCAACTTCACTGATAGAAACTATTTATCTAACTAATCGTAAAAATATGCACGACACAATAAAGAGAAAAACATTTGAAAAAAAACTCAAAAAATTGCGAAACTAAAAGAAAAAAAATGAGTTACGGCGGTCGCAACGTTGCGACCGCTTTCACTGGGAAAAACGTCATTGGAGCGCGGTTGTTGGACCAGCCAACGTCCTGGGGTCTTTTCGGGAGGTTATATCTCTTCAAAGGGGCGCGGCTTTTGAGGAATGGTTAGCAGCATGCAAAGGCAATGTTCCTACTGTTGCGTTTTCTACCCAGTTGCAATCTGAATGTTCCCCCGTTCGTGAAATATTTCGGATGGGTTTCGGATCGGCTAGGGGTAAATGGCAAGCGGGTTTTTATGCTTCACACGAGGATTACTTCTTAAACGCATTTTCATGAGAATAAAAACCGTCTTCGAAACGTTCCATCTTTTCCAAAAAGCTTTACAGTTTTCCTGAAGACCCGCTAGTTCAGGAGATATTTCAGATGGGTTACCAACGCGCTACCCTCTGAGCCACTCAAAAGTTGGACTCCTTCCGTGCCATCATGAGGATACTCATTCAAGAACTCCAATATGCCTTCAAAACACATATTCCCGCTCAAATGAGTGAAAGAAGAGCTTCGTTATCATCGATCGATTTGGTCCGAGTGTGCGCCATGCACGCGCTTCTACGCAGAGATGGTGGAAAGGTGTAACTTCAATTTTAGGATTATTTTTTCGCCATGCAAGCAGATGTTTGTTCAGAGGGTTTGGAATAAGACCATACGCGATAAATGTTTGAGATGTACTATTTATTAGGTTGCTCGAAAGGAATGCGGGACGTTGGACTTTGTCTATTTATTTCTCTTCTACTATAGGAGATTTTTCAAAACAGTTTTGTCCATTAGAGAGAGGTTTTTATTGCGCATCTTTTGATATATTTTTCTATGTCTACCTTTTTTTAGAGAAAAAAAAAGTTTAGAAAATGCTCGACCAAAAATTTCGAATGCGAGCTTGTATGTGGTAAGACTCAAGCAAGTCCTAACGACGCACTTGGTGACCTATGACCCACTCGTGCTGCACAAGCGGGCAGCCGGGCGGACCTAGCAAGCACACTCGGCGAGAAAACTGGCAAAAGAGGCTCTTTTGACCTACATTTCCTCTCCGGCGGACCTAACGACACACCCGAGGGGAAAAGTAGTGAAAGAGGCTCTTTTGGCGAAGTTTTTGCGTACAGTTGGCAACAAGTCATTGCTAGTAATGGAGATTATCTTTTAGATTGACCTTGTTTAATTTTCAGTGGCGCGATGTCCTTTCGCGCGAACAGACCTAGTAATTACTCTACGCACTTACGAGTTCAAAATGCTGAACATGTCAGTTTTGCCTAAAAACAATTTAACATTATTTTGCAAGTCTCCCTGCATCCAGTGTCTTCTGCCACTTTCCGTCCGTTTTCATCAAACTTAGCAATGACACTGTTTGTGGCTGTTTTATGCTCACCTGACCCCTGGCGTTTGCCGACCGTGCCATGTATGAAGGCAAGGCGACCCTTTTCGGGTCATACTCTAGCTATCAACTGAAACGTCAATAGCGCTGTCGGAAGCTGACTGACTCTGTGATTTTAACCCCCCCCCCTCCCCAACGGCCAAGGTACCGAAATTCCCCTGTGGGGTTCGCACAATTCAGGGAGGTTGGATCTGTACGCATGCGCGCAGACGCCGGGCGTGGCCAGGGGGAAGGGCTGGCTTGCGCAGCAACCAGCATTTGCCACCACATTTCGAACGATTAGGCAACAGTGATGGGAAAACTGTCAGGCATTACGCATATCTACCTCCTTGAACACGCTCGCGATACGTTGGTAGCGAAAAGACTGGCAATTCACTGATCAAATGATAACACTTCAAGCTTGCAAGTAATCTAAGATACTTAAAAAAAACATACACAGATTCGAGACTAAAGTAAAGCAGGGTCTCTATTCAGGATTATCAGTTTTCAAAATAAACGAGTGCTCCGCGATAGCCGTACCCTAGACGGCTAATTTGGTAGTTTCTTAGTGGACAGCCCCGCAATAAGGATGGCCACGTCATGTTTGATCGAAGGTTCCGATCATGGCGCCAATCCGAAGTTCCAAACTTCCACATCCCGGGATATGCACTAGCTGCCCGCTACATGGTGGTAGGGCCTAGCTGCCACATTCAGTGGACAATGTCGGCAGAATGAGTTTATGGGGGATATCTTTCAATGATGCAATGCCGCCCGTATTGTTTGATGCTGAGACAAACACGTGAGCTGCCAATTGTCTTCTAAATGAACGACCTTATCGAAAGCGGGGCAGCCGGCAAGCGCAAATTTGAGATGACATACACCGCATAATCCCCAGAGAAAGGAGTTCCGTGCTGCATTTTTCATTTGAACGTGGCAGCAACTGTGCTTTTTGAGGCATAGGCTTTAGAATACTTGCAAAAGACTTTGTCCAGTGCAAGATGGGGTTACATTTGAGTGAAATGGCTTTCCCAGAAAAAGCGGATCCTACGCCATGTTCGAGATAAAGGCGCGCAGCGACGCCCACCGCCCATCGCTGGATGTGGGAGCGTCGCAGGTCCACCGGCCTAGGGCAATGCCAAGGATTTTAGTATATGTGTCATCGAACTACGGTCATCTTGCAAACATCTTCCGCTGCTTGTGAATGCAAAACTATGAGAAATCTAAGAAGTTCAATCAGACAAGATTTTTGTTCACAGCTGTTCATTTGCTGATCTGCACGAAGATCCCTTTATCCACTAAATCAGTAACATGGGCAAGAAGTACGAATGTGCTGCAGACCGTGATAACACTGCAACATGAACGAAGTTCGCAGAAATTCCATACGGTATACAAGAGGGAATGATCTAAAGTTTGCCAGAAGGTCTTTTTCTTGGGGAGCTCTAGAACTATGACAAGCAATAGTTGCCAATAAGAATACAACTAACAACAATATCAACCAACCACCATCCGCTATGATTTGAATGGGCATTGAGGTGGGCAAGAAACTGTTTCACCGGCTCTAAACTGAGTGATGAGAATGAAGAAAGTGCTGACCCTCTCATACCGCGAGATTGGAGCGAAGAAGAATGGTGAACGAGAATAGGAGAGCATGTCTCATTAAAACAACTTGAGAGGATAGGTAGGTGAAGGTAGGTAGTGAAAGAGAGTGTGTGTGACGTAACGGAAGAGCTCAAAAGAGGCAGAGCTCATGAATAGAGGGACAGGAAAAATGTAAGAGCATATTGAAGAAACACTACACACAACATGCCAAAGTAGACGGCAGCATCGAACGCCTAACCTGCTACATGTTAGAACAATTATGTTGATTGTTGAGTCCTCGCTTTCATAGTTGATAGGAAGGATGTCACAAAGACACTGTTATCGACAGACAAAAGGTTTGCAAAAAAAAGGTGATAAGGACTGATGAACAGCAAGCGTCGGTTCATTATCTTTTTCTGTTAATTTTGTAAATTGTATGAAAGTGATAGGGGCAGCAAATGACCAGGTCTTTTGAAAAACTGTGCGAATGGATCCGTACGAGGTGTTCAGTTGAGCAGCTGGAGCACTGATGACTAAGCGGTGAACTGTTCAGTCTTTGGTGCAAGAGAGTGATTTTAAGTGATAAGGAGTGTCGGTATAGAACCGATTGTGAGTGCCACATGTGCCATATGTTTCGTTCATCGCTCTGTTCTTTAATGTAGAGGGTGAACACTAGCCACCAGGATTTGAATTAGACCTATGGCTATCTTTAATGGCCACCGATAGCCAATACTGGTGTCTTAATGAAAGGAGAGGTGGACAACTAGAGAAATATATCTTAGAGAACATCTGATAGCATGGAAGACTGATGAAAGCAACAAACGAATAGAGAACGTAGCAGAGTAAGTTTAACGAAGTTTGAGCCGCATAAAATTACTGCAACGTTGATCAGGTATCTCGGATCCTCTCTGCAATGAAGGAGGAGGTAGAATAACACTAGTAAGCCTTTTCTAGTGTTCAGTTTTGTGTTTCACACAATGCAGCGGTTTCACACCATTGAAAAACGGGAACGCTTACCTGAGGTGCTATTGTGATGAACATGTTCCAAGACATAAGCATACCAATACCATGCAACAAAAATATCCAGTAAACTGCATAATGACGATCCTCGACGAGCGCGACAGACGAGCATGAGGTGGTGGATGACGGCAGTGATGATTCAGATATGGATGAAACTTTCATAGTTGACAGCTGAATCCAATAGATGCTTGTGGAAGTGATGCGATCGAATTGTTCTGCAGCATGAGCGGCATTTGATAAGAAGTTTTGGATTGCCGTGACAAACGACTAAGCCTCTGTAAACATCAGGCCACCCAGAACATTCATGTCAATGGGATGCTAAATAAGGATGACACCGTTCTTAGGAGAGAGAAAATCGACTTGAAGGTGAGTATTTTCCCTACGAAACGGAACCCGTTTGCGCCGCGGGTATTGAACTGGATGCCTGGCCATGGAGAGAGGTCACATTCATTGCTGATCTGAAATTAAATGCGCAGCGATTATTCTCGCATTCAATTGACTCTTTCAATTCACGCATCCAATATTATTGCAGGCGAGCTTCAATCGTAGCAGAGAAATTTTTTTCTGTAATCGTTTCACTAGTTTCTATGGG